GGTCGCAGTACAAGAAAGCCCTCGAATTACACCTGCCATCATGCCCGCTCTACGATTTCCTCGAGGGGAGAGTTCCCCATCCTTCGCACACATACCTCCGATTGATAGAAATGACCGAGGCGGAGGAAAAGGAGTTCATCAACAGGGAAATCGGTGAACGGCGTACGAGACTGGGCGCAAAGATTGATCAGGTTACACTGGAGGTCAAGAGGGAGGCCTTCAAACGAAGCGAGCTAGAGGAGCTTTACCGTGGAATTATCAACTGGTCTCATGATGATCAAGTTCGGCGTACCTACGAAGAGAAGTTGTTACAGCGGGCGAACGACATTCTCTCTGTGCTACCGGCGAATGAAAAGGACGCCAAGCGAGCAGAAGTGTTACAGGCTGCCCACGATATGGTGATCATTAAGCACCCTTACGAGCTTGCGTGGAAGATCGTGCTAGAATGGCAGGATATTCAGAACTTCTCAGAGTGGGACCGTAACTTCCTAGACGACTTCATCGAATTTTTCCCTGAGGACGGTCTCTCTAAGCTGCTGAAGGGCTTCTTGGCTAGCGACTTGTCACCGTTCCCGAAAGACAAAGAGCCCAAAGAAGCTGCAAAGAAGGATGAAGAGGCAGAGAACAACAATGGCGAGAGCAATGAGCTAGGTGTCCAGGATAACCTACTCTTGATGGTGGAAGGCCTCGAAGGTTCTTCGGCGTCGATCGTCGCTCACCGGGTTGTGGCCGAACTATATCTCTCACTTGAAGAGTACGACAGCACAGTGGATGTCTGTCGCAAAGGCCTTCGCAACGTCCAGGATCTTGTCAGGAGGACTGGCATCAGTCTGCAAAACACTACCGATGCACTCAACATAATGCTCGCCAACTCGCTTATTTATTACCAGTCTCCCCGGCATCACCCCGAAGCTAAGCGGATTTTCGAAGAGATCTTGGGGAGAGAGCCGAAGTCCACAAGCTGCTTGTTGGGTATCGGTCTAATTCTAAAGGTTGATGAGGATTACTCCGAAGCCGTCAATTTCTTGGAGCGCGCTCTAGAGCGGGACCCAACGAACATTAAAGTCCGCGGTGAGCTGTCATGGTGTAGAGCACTCAACGGCGATATTGCATCTGGCTTAGAGGGTCTGCAAGACGTTCTCGAAGAACTTCAGGAAGCGGAAACCGACAATAGAGAATTCAAAGCTGAGATCCTCTACCGTGTGGGATACTGCCAGTGGGAGATTGACCCATCGCCGGCAGCGCGCAAAGACCGGACTGGAGCATACGCAAGCTTCCTCGCGTCTATCCAGTCTAACATGAACTTTGCTCCCGCCTATACAAGCCTCGGTCTCTACTATGCAGACTACAAGAAGGACAAGACGCGGGCACGCAGGTGCTTCCACAAAGCATTCGAGCTGTCGGCATCAGAGATCGAAGCAGCGGAGCGTCTTGCCAAGACATGCGCCGATCAGAGGGAATGGGATCTCGTCGAAGCCGTGTCCCAGCGAGTTGTTGATTCAGGGAAAGCCAAGCCTGCGCCAGGCTCGAAGCGCAAAGGCTACAGCTGGCCCTATGCAGCTCTGGGCACAGTGCAAATCAACAAGCAGCAGTACCCTAAGAGTATCGTCTCTTTCCAGGCAGCGCTCAGAATTTCTCCCAACGATTACCATTCGTGGGTCGGCCTAGGTGAAAGCTACCACCACTCTGGCAGATTCATTGCCGCTACAAAGGCGTTTGAGCACGCACAGCAGCTGGAAGATAACCTTTCCGACAAGGAACAGATTTGGTTTGCAAGGTACATGCTTGCTAATGTCAAGCGAGAACTTGGCGAGTACGAGGATGCTATTGCGAGATATGAAAACGTCTTGCAGGTGCGGCCTAATGAATTTGGAGTGGCGATTGCGCTGCTTCAAACGCTTACTGAGAGCTCCTGGAAGAGTCTGGACCAGGGTCTTTACAATGATTGTATTGAGCTGGCACGAAAGGCCCTACTGGTGGCCAAGTCGCTTGCTCTGGAGAGGGTTGACGTTTTCAACCTTTGGAAAGGGATCGGAGACGCCTGTACGCTCTTCTCCTACGTCCAATCGAAAGCGGGTAGGTTGCCGATTGATGAGCTAAGAGACCTACTCGAGACTCAGCTGGAACCTACGGCCCTAGATATCCTGACGGAAGTTGATAATGTTGGTCACGATTATCTATCTTCGTTAACAGCCGATGATGAGACCGCCAATCGGACGAGTCAATGTCTCTACGCCGCCATCCTGGCATACAAGCGTGCCATTCAGGTCTCCCTGCGGGACAGCCATGCCCAAGCAGTCGCTTGGTACAACCTGGGCTGGGCAGAGTACCGAGCCTACCGGTGTTTGCAGACTATCGTAAACACCGAGAACAAGAAGCAGTCACGTAAGCTCTTGAAGGCAGCCATGCGTTGCTTTAAGAGAGCCATCGAGCTCGAAGCGGGAAACTCGGAGTTCTGGAACGCCCTTGGAGTAGTCACCACGAGCATGAGTCCCAAAGTCGCGCAGCATGCATTCGTCCGCAGTCTTCACCTCAACGACAGGAGCGCCCAAGTCTGGACGAACCTGGGAACGCTTTATCTCATTCACAATGATATCCAGCTCGCCAACGAAGCTTTTACCCGGGCACAGTCCACTGACCCCGACTACTCCCCGGCTTGGGTTGGCCAAGGATTCTTGGCTCTTCTATTCGGAGACCCTCAGGAAGCTAGAGGTCTGTTTGAACATGCCTTTGATATTTCCACCTCGTCGACCCGCTTGTCGAAGAAGCAGTATACGATGAGCTTGTTCGACCACCTCCTGTCGGATTCGTCCCTGTCGAATGAAATATCACAACTCATCCAGCCCTTCTTTGCTCTGCACCAACTATCCAGCCAGGACCCGTCCGATCTTCCGTTCGTGCATCTTTCTGCTCTCCTGGCGGAAAGAATCGGCGAGCACACAGACGCCGAGGCTAGTCTGCGGTTAGTTTGCGCAGGCATGGAAAGTGAATACGAAGTCACGGAATCGGCATCGTCCCTTTCCCGGTATGCACAGGCCAATGCAGACATTGCTCGTGTTCTGCTTGCGCGCCATGACTTCGAAGAAGCTGCCGAGAAGGCGGAGACAGCTCTTATGCTGTCGGGCGAGGAAGATGCAGAGAAGTTCGACCCAGAGACGAACCGCAAGTTGCGCCTGTCAGCCCATTTGACAGCGGGTCTAGCACACTACTACATGAAGTCCATGGATAACGCCATCGACATGTTCCGTGACGCCCTTCAAGAAGCGGACAACGCTCCGGAAGTGGTGTGCCTCCTAGCACAGGTTCTGTGGGCCAAGGGCGGAGAGGAGGAGCGCGCTGTGGCACGCCAGCAACTATTCGACTGTGTTGAGGAGTACCCAGAGCACATTGGGGCTGTAACCCTCCTAGGAGCCATTGCGCTCCTTGACGCCGATGCGGATGCCATTGAAGCGGTTGAATCCGATCTGCAAAATATGATCACTCGAGATGACATTGAGATCCACGAACGCGGCAAGCTGATCAAGCTCTTGACCGCCATCTCAACCCTTGGATTCACCGACAACTCTGGCGTACCCGAGGATGTCCGACGCGTCGGCGAGGCCACAACAGCAGTGATGAGATCGCCGTACGAACCTCAAGGCTGGGTAGAATTGGCGTCCGCCACCCAGGAACTGTACCCTGCGGAGATGGCGACCAAACGGGCATCGAGGAGCGTTCCTCCCCGGAGCAACCTGGAAGCCATCGATTTGTCCGCAGCATACGCACAGACCAGAAAGGCAAGCGACGCGCTGCGGGCGATCATGGTTGCGCCATGGAAGCAGACTGGATGGGAGGAGTTGAACCACGCGGTCTCAACGACCAGCTAGACGTGTTGTAGTTAACTGTCACGCGCACACATTAGTATAGATGCATACATGCATTAGACAATCCATCGTCCACGATAACCGCAAACCTACCATCTTAACAAACCTAAGACCCCTCATTCTCCCCATTAATCCTCTGCAACAACCTCTTCTTCCTCCCCTCCCTCCACTGTATATCCAACCCCTCAATCTTCCCTCCCAAGACCACACACGACTCCGGCGTAAGCATCACCATCCCTCTCGCAACCGTAACATCCCTTACGACGACCTTCGCCCCAATAGCCAACTTCCCCAACCCAATCCCACTCACCCTCGCAAACTCCAACCCAACGGCCCTCGTCCCCGCCGCATCCTGCAGAATCAACCGATGCGGACCATTACTCTCACCACCACCAGCTGCATTATTGTTGTCCGCAGCCTCACTATCCTCCCCCACATTAACCGTCCTCACGATTTCCCTCCCCCGGATCGCCTCCCCTCTTTCCACGCGCTCAATAGCCTCCACTTGGCTCCAGAGGCTTGTGCCGATGTCTTCGATGTCGAGGACTTGGAGTGGGATAGGGCCATTGAGACGGCGTTCTTGGATGGCGGGGTTGAAGATGTCGGTTGGGAGGAGGGTTGAGGGGTTGCTGGTGCTGAGGGAGTCGCGGATGTCGGAGGTGAGGATGCGGAAGAGGGCGGTTTGGGTAAGGGCGCTGAGGGGGATGGTGCGTGAGGTTGATGTTGAGGAGAGGAAGGTGGTGAGCCAGGTGGGGGAGACGGGGAGGGATTTGGTGGTCAGGAGGTGGGTGGCTATATGGTCGTGAGGATTTGTTGTCATTGTGTTAAATGTTAGATAGTGTTCTAGGAGGTGGAAAGTGAGTGTAGGTGCATAATTGTGAGGTGTTGTTGGTTCTGCCGATGTAGATAGTTCTGGTGGAAAATGTTTACTGTAGCTCCGATGCGGAGCGGAGCGAATCCGGGGAACGGACCAGCCAAGCTGGACCTCATTCCATCTAAACTCTCCTTATCGGCTTGATCTTTGAACACTCCAATTCTACTTCCGCTAATCACTACTTCCCACGCCTATATTTTACTTTTTCTTTCGTCTACTTCATCCCATCAAATATAGATCGCAGATATCGATCTCAAATCGACATGTCAACCCTCTCCTCCCCCCGCCCCTCAATCGCCTCATCCCGCGCACACTCTCCAACACCAACATCCTCGCACCGACCCTCCCTCGACACCCTCAACACAAGCTACAACCTCAACAACCTCAGCGCCTCCTCAACCCCATCCACCGCCCGCGCCGTCCCCCCCTCCCTACACCCGCGCCGCAACCGCGCCGCCCTCCGCGACTACTACAACCTCAAACCCTCCTCCGCAGCCGATCCCAACAATGACGGGCGGCGCTCACGCAGCATCCCCCGACATACCGACGCAGGGGACATCTCCAGCAGCAGTAGTGGCACTGTCGCCGGTGGCCCATCTATCCTATCCACAACAGGCACCGAGCTCGACAGCCCGGACTTCGACCCCCAACGCTACGTGAACCAGCTCCTCGCTTCATCGTCGCTCTCGACAGTCCTGAAAGCGGAGAATACGCTCGTCGGGGATATCCGCACGCTGGATAGTGAGCGCAAAGCGTTGGTGTATGACAATTACTCGAAGTTGATTAGGGCCGTCGAAACGATTGGGAAGATGCGACGGACGATGGATGATCGGGGCGCGCCGTTGACAATGACGAAGACGCTGGGGCCGGCAATTGCATTTGTGGCGGAGACGGCGGGCGGGTTGATCCAGGAGGGAGAGGAGCAGCAGAGACGCATGAAGGAGGCTAAGGAGAGTGAGGGGGGTGAGAGGAGGAGGGCTGAAAAGGGGACCGTTAAGTGGGTGCTTGCGGCGCCGGGGAGGTTGGAGAAGTTGCTGGAGGAGGGGAAGGGGGATGAGGCGGAGAAGGACTGGGATGAGGTACGGAAGTTGTTAGATAAGTGGGAGGGGGTTAAGGGTGTGAAGGAGGTAAGAGAGGCTTGTGAGAATGTTATGGAGGGGAGAGAAGCTTGAGTTGGGGTTAGCTTCTGAAACCATGAGGGGTTTGCCAACAGTCTGGAAAATCGATGCTTCACGAGAAACATGAAAGTGACTTTGTGGAGTTGGTACCCATAGGTGCCATCGAGCTTCAACCAAGCCAGCTCCTGACAACGAGCTCGGGATCGCGATGGCGTGCCTCGATATCACCTATCGGCCACTTCCCAGCTAGCAGACATCCTATCATCCACCAAGGCAGTCTACACAGCTCGAGCTGGTCTCTGAGCTACCACCTATCTTCTCCAAGCCATTGACAAAGCAACATAGATTAATGAAACCATATACCCAAAACATGCATACCTACCATACCAAGCATCACACCATATCATATCCAAGCACAAACCAGAATATCCAAACCAACACCAAAACCAAACCCAAAATATCACTCTACTTCTTTCCAAAATCCCGACTCGAGTACATACTTCCCCTCAACCCCCACTCATTACCCCCCCTAATATCCAAATGCGTATATGCATCACACTTATAATAAACAGGTCGTCCATCCAAATCCACCAGCTTCAACGCCGCCATCTTCCTCAATACTCTCTCCACATCTGCTCTGTCCTCATAATCCTTCGTATAGATAGCAATCAACCTCGCCTTCTTCGCATTATCATCATCGGCGGCGACAGCAGCAGTAGCAACCTTAGCCCCGAACCCCAGCTCCCCTTTCGCCGTAGCCTCAGCCACTATCCCCCACACCTCATCGACCTTCTCTGGTAAGACGAACAACAGCCACTTGCCAGAAACGACATTCGTCTGCCTGGCCAGATTGAAGAGTGTGTTTTCGAGGTCTTTACGATGTTGGGTGAGTTCGCGCGTCAGCGCAGCCGGCGTCTGCTTCTTCTTTGGCTTTTTAGCGTGTTCGGCCCGCACCTGGGCGATTGCTTCTTCGTGGGCTTTGAGTGCCTTCGTCCCGTCTGCCACTAGCTTCTTGAGATCTGCTCGTGGCTGCTCATAGCTATAGCTAGTTGTGTAAATCCAGGACCCCGTGGGGGATGTGGACAGGGTAGATGAGGGGCGTAGACGGGCCAGGAAAGATGAGATGGGTTCGTTAGGCGAAGGGCGGTTGGGTCTGACTGGGGTCGTGTCTGTGCTTGAGATGGGAACGTCAAAGTCGTGGGTGGGGATCGGTGTTGATGGGGGTACACTCGAGAGTTCGGGAGTTGATATGTCCATTGGTTGGACTACGTCTGATGCCTCTAGTTCTGGGGCTGGGGATGATGCTGAGGGCACGATTTCTCGGGCTGCAAGGACATTATATTTTATGGTGTTGTAGGAATATCGGTGTACGGTGCTCCAATAATGCTCGGTGTCGAAGTTGGCTACCTCCTCCTCCAGACGTGCCGTCTCCCCTTCTGAACCTGTGGGGTTTGTTAGCTGGTGCTGGGGTTCGTTTGCATGGAGGGGAGTACAGGCCGTAGAAGCTAGACTCATCGGACAGGTCTGGCATGGGTACCTTAGACATCGTGATCGCAGTAATGATGGTAGTAAGATGAGATGAATTGGATAGATAGTAGTTGGATGCACTATGAATATGGACAGGTGTTGGATGGAGATGGGAGAGATAGATTGAATTGGGAGAGGCCTGGTTGAATGAGGCTGAAGGTGGAACAAGTGAAGGTGACTGGGGCTTGTCACTCCCACCCACCACTGCCACAGTCACTGTGCCATTTATGGGTGAATTAGTGGCCTGGCGTTTGCCTATAAATTTCCAGCTTCTTCCTCTTTCTTCTCTTCTTCTCTCCTCTATCTTTCTTGTTGGTCATCTCTACTGCCGTCATTTTATATGCACTGAATGTTCCTACTGTCTTAGCTTCCATTAGTGGTATACAAATCTTGACTGATAAATCTATTCTATGAAGGAACTAAGATACCCTTTCGATACTCTGATCACAGCAGAGGAAATATACATTGGTGCTGTACGTTGATTATCCTGGTATATGGGACTCGAGCTACGAATGGTGGGTTCTACTCAAGAAATACGCAACTTATAAAAAGTTTTACATACGTTCCATCAGCAGCTTTATACGTTCTTTCCTATTTCACTTCCATCCGTTTGACCTTGGAAGATATCTGCAAAATCGTCTCTATATCTTTTTCTTAAGCCAACGCCCATGGTGGAGGACAACAAAGCGCATTGTGGGGGGCGCGGGGGGGTTGCGCAAAGGTCTTACAGTCGTAATTCATGACACATTTACCTATAACCCGCCCTTAGTATTCTATATATGCTTCTGACTGGATAGCCTCTACACTGAGTTTGCACTGGATATGTACTACAGACCTGGTGCTACTCCAGGGCGTTGAAGGCCGGCAGTTGGACAGGACACTACTATTTCACAATGCTCCGTAAGAGCGAATATGCAGCTGTCTGAAGTCATTGGGCTGTCTCCTTGACCATCAAAGAGACCTGATGAAAGAGATAAAAGTTCATGCATTTAGAATCCAGTGGCCGCGATTATACCGATAAAGGTAACTTCAATAAGGACGCATGACAGGAGATGTTATTGGCCCCAGACATGAAGTAGAGCATCAGACACTGAGCCGAACGAGAAGCTATGTCCTCGTGGCTCGGCTTCACACCTAGTACCGCATGATAGGAGCCTGCCGGAAGACATATAGTGCCTTATGGCAGAGTTCTAGGTTCTTTCTGGGAAACTGTGATGAACAAGTTATTATCACAGGATGAGGCAGCAAAGCTAATTGATAACTATACTGCAAGATGGCACCAACACGACCAGTCGAGGTAGCACAAGTAACATCTAGAAGCTTATACCGGCATGGAAACTCTTCTCTTAAGGCAAAACTTCCCATCATCGAGAGCATCGCCTCAAACAGTGGACAAGATATAGAGCAAGAAGCTTCGCGTACTGGTGTCTATCAATGTTGACTTCAACCCAAACCAAATGATACTTCAGCAAGTCTTGTCACTATTCCATCAAAGTATGGAAAACCTCACCAACCAAAGCACATCTTACGTTCTGCGTTTTAGGGCTAGCACGCAGTAGATGGGTTCAAATCATTGATCCATGTGGGAAATGCTTCAACTCAAAGATATAGGGACATCTCTACCATTGAAAGGTAGCTGTCAGGGTATTGCACGCTCATCATCTTTTTATCTTCTCTCCCCTTTCGTTCACATATATCATTATAAAAAGATAACCGCTCCTTTCCTTGCTCATAATGGAGAATCCCACTCAAGTGTGTTCTGCCCATTAGTGAGGAAACCTACATTATAATATATGATATATGATATTAACGTTGGCGCCTCACATAGATAATCCATAAGGCCGTATTCCTGGCCGGCAGGTTCTCCGGGGCTGGTCTCCGCATAGGTAATCGCGAGGAAAAGAAAAAGCTAAAAGTGGAGGATAAAGGCATCTCGATGGTGTCAAGGGGTAAATGAGGAAAGTCATGGCACTATTCATGAAGTGACTTGGGCCCACCGTGGCCGAAAGAGACGGATTACTTGACTCGATTTATCACTGATTACGCTCAATATCAAACACCTGGTCGAAGGTAGCAACCATCCAATAGAGCACACAAATATGAACTCTGATGGGCGAGCGTCAAATGCAGTACCTAGCGATGCATATCTGTGCTTAATATCGAGAATGTCGCCTTCGATATTGGTTTTTTATTGAATGCAAAGGCTTCGGTCTTGTGTCAATTCTGTGCCGCGGGCAGTAAGACCTGCGAACAAGCGGGTTTCGCACAGTCCGGGTTGTTTTATATATGATTTACTGATATCTGTTTCTAAATCGAATACAATCGCGAACTACATCATTCATGAACCATCAGACGCACCCCCCCCCCCCCCCCCCCCAAACAGAGTAGATCCACGGATTGAAGTGCTCTCTACACCTTCCTAAATCGGCAGAAAAGGTGGTTGGCACCTCCCTCTTCGGGACAAAGTTTCAGCAGATCAAGAGAAGAATAGAGGAATCGGACTCAGTCGGGTGCAGGAGTTCATGCAACTTGGCGACAATCGGCGGTAGGAGCGTTGATAATAATACAAGTAGTCTATGCCTGGTTCAATATATTGCTCGTTACTATAAGATAGTGAGTCCATAAAGCCAGCAGTGAAATGAGGGATATATAAGCTTTATAACTTAAGTACTAATCGCAGAGCCTGAGGCAGATCAAAACAGATAGTACTGTTGGTTTCTGCGACGACAAATGGGGCTGGCACTTGGGACATGCTTCTTTTTTCTACCAGGACTACGGGCTTAAAGTACTCCAGCTGACCCTAGGAACGCGTGTGATATAACAGAAAGGCAGAAAAAGAACCGAGAACAAGCACGGCCAAAAGACGTGCAGAAGAGGGCCTGGAAGAGAAACCGAGAGAGGCGGAGCCCGAGCAGGCCTGAAGCCATGGGAGGAAGAAGCTCTGAGCGCAGCTAAGAAGATTGTGCTAAGCTGGGAAAGCAGCAGTTTCAATATCCTCGAACCCTTCTAGCGGTTCGTCAAGATTACCGTAGGCTTGCTTGCTGGCCACAACGAAGACCGTTGAGCAGATCAAAGCTATGGTCATCGAGGGTAGTACTAAGGATGGAGATATCATGCCAAGGGCAATACGCCATGAGAGGAGGGGAGTGACAAGACTCCTCAGACAGAACTCGGGATATCAGAAGTCCTTTTTCCAAAACAAGATCGCGAACTGACAGGCGAGCGAGCAAACTTCATAAGCCGTTATGGGAGACCAGGGACATGGTCCGGGAATTGGCCGTAGCACTGACTGGCACGTGAAGCTGATCAGAACATAAGTCTACTGGAAGTGACCCAGATCCCAGAGCATGGTGCCCAAAAATGCAGACTGACGGCTAAGTTGGATGGACGACAAACCTGACCGACAAACTCGGTAGTGACTTAATGACCTAGCAAGGATTTGAACCCATATTCTTCAAATCAGAAATGGGCCGCGCACTTTGGAAATACACGACCACTAAGGGTCAAACAATTGACGAGAAAAGCATACAACCCTTGCCCCCAGTACGCGGACCGCGAGACCAAGTTGAAGCTTGTGAGGGATACGTTCGTTGAACACTACGATGAACTGATCCAAGCCGAACGAGTTGGAGGGAGGTGGTTTGGTCGACGGAGGTGCTGTATCTATCTTGTATACCCCATAGAATGCATGTTTACATGATATTAATCATCCATATGTGTTGTGTTAGGTCGTATGCGTACATTATACCGACGCGCGGCTCGCAGAGACCGCTCGAGCGAATCAGGTAGGGCTAAGCGTCTCAGTGCGTAGACTATGTTCAATGATGATGGGCCTACAATGCAGCATGGAAAGCCAATTTCGCAGTGGATACTTTGAATGGAGATAACATTTAAAATGAGTAGCTCATGAAAATGAAAATAAGATTCGCTTCGTCCAAAGTCCCATAGCCTGTAGCTCGGCCTGCACTGTGCCGTCACCAAGCCACAGGTAAAGAATGAATGGTCCAATCGTGAGAAAAAAGGATGTTGCGCTTCTGAAGGCTCTCGACTATGGTCGTGACTAGTGAGAGGGCAATCTATCCTCAGGTGATACATACAACTCGAATGATAGAAGTGTAATAAACATAGGCTACTATTGCAGCCTTTGGGTAAAGAGCGGCCATTCTTTTGATAAATTTGAGATCCCAGTCCTTAAATCCGCTAGAGAAACAACGCCAATTGAAACGAGTGTCCGAAAACAAATCCAACAGAGGCTCGACATTTCATTTGCAGCATTAGTGAGCTACCTAGAACGGTGGCATCTGCGTTTGGTTGAACATGTACATGCTTTCATCGGGGAAGTTGTTGTTATTGCCGGTGGCAGTACTGTCGAAGAGCATGCTGTTCATGATAGAGTCATCGTAAAAGGCTCCAATGGAGCTAAAGTCCATCTGTCCAGGCTGGTACATATGCTCACCGTACCCGAAGGAGGCGTCCTCGAAGAAGTCAGTCGTCCCGTTGAGAGGGGCAAAGTCATTGTCGGTGTACAAGACACAGTCTTCGTGCTTCAGCTGGGAGTACGGGTCCTGGAGCGGTAGCATCGGATTCTGGGAATAGTTGTTGACAAACCCCGGGGATTGGAGAGGGCCCGTTGCCGGCGTGCTGAGCTGAGCGGGACTGACTTGGGTTGGGCTCATTTGAACCGAGCTGCCCTGATCCGGGCTCATCTGAAGGGAGAGCATCTCGGCGGGGCTGGCACGGTCGGGGGTCATTTGGAGCGGACTCATATGGTCCGGACTCAGTTGAAGTGGGCTCATATGGTCGGCATTCATCTGCAGCAAACTAACCTGGTCCGGAGTCATCTGCAGAGTGCTGATCTGTTCCGAAGCCATTTGAAGGGAAGCCAACTGAGCGGGAGCCAGCTGAACAGGACTGACTTGGTCAGGGCTCATGTGCAGTGGGCTCGAGTGAGCCGTGCTCTCTTCAGCTGGACTGGCGCGAGCCGAAGTAGCCCGTCGCTTAGCATTGCGTCCGTTGTTC